GGTGGTGCAGTGGTTAGAGTGCAGTACTGCAGGCTATTTCTACTGACTGCAATTTGGCAGTTCAAATGTCACCAGGCTCAAGGTTGACTCAACCTTCCGTCCTTCCAAGGTGGGTAAAATGAGGACCCAAATTGTTGGGGGCAAGAGGCTGATTCTGTCAACCGCTTAGAGAGGGCTGTAAAAGCACTGTGAAGCGGTATATAAGTCTTAAGTCTATTCCTTCCTTCCTTCCTTCCTTCCTTCCTTCCTTCGTCCCTCTCTCCTTCCCTCCCAGTGATTAGATTGCATTATTGCAGGCTGACTGCCCACTGCTAGCAGTTCGATCCTGACCAACTGGCTCAAGGTTGATTCAGCCTCCCAATACTTCCTAGGTGGGTAAAACGAGGACCCAAATTGTTGGGGGCAAGAGGCTGATTCTGTCAACCGCTTAGAGAGGGCTGTAAAAGCACTGTGAAGCGGTATATAAGTCTTAAGTCTATTCCTTCCTTCCTTCCTTCCTTCCTTCCTTCCTTCCTTCCTTCGTCCCTCTCTCCTTCCCTCCCAGTGATTAGATTGCATTATTGCAGGCTGACTGCCCACTGCTAGCAGTTCGATCCTGACCAACTGGCTCAAGGTTGATTCAGCCTCCCAATACTTCCTAGGTGGGTAAAACGAGGACCCAAATTGTTGGGGGCAATATGCCGACTCTGTAAACCGCTGAGTTTAGAGAAGGTTGTGAAGCACTATTAAGCAGGATATAAGTCTAAGAGCGATGGCTATCATGATCCTCAAAATACCTGGCCATTCTCTCGCACCATGATGTTGTCGCTGTGACGGTCGCCAATCCCCAGCACATAGGTAGCCACGCAATATCCGGCACATGAAAGCGTGAATTCCTCAATGGCCTGCTCCAGAGCATCACTGCACAAGAGAGGAGAACAGGCTGTTGAAGGAAAAGTCAACTTTCCTCTTGAAGGTGGCATAAAAACCTCACCCCGTGGTGCCCTTTCCAAGCTGCAAACAGCCCAAAGAATGCCCCAAGATGTTTTCTTCCTCCCTTAAATTCATTTTAAGCTCTGCTGCCCTCAATTCTTACGATTCTTAAGAAAGACAATTCATCCAGTTAAGTATCCGAGGGCCTCAAAAGCATCACGAGAAGGATCTACTTAAAGAGTTATTGAAGAACTAGGTTGTTTGAGACCAGCCAGTCATTAACATGTTTGTATTCCATGTTCCATGTTTCACATGTACCCCTCTGCTCCTTCCAGCTAAATGAGTTGAGTAGAGAATGAGGAGAGGCCATTTCTGAGTAAACCTTCATCCATTCCATCTCATCTCCATAGTCTTCTCAAGCCTGATTTTGTTTAGACTTTTATAGGTAAACATAAAGGTTCCCCTTGCACATATGTGCTAGCCTTTCCCGACTCTAGGGGGCAGTGCTCATCTCCATTTCAAAGCCGAAGAGCCAGCGCTGCCCAAAGACGTCTCTGTGGTCATGTGGCCGGCATGACTCAACGCCCAAAGGCGCACGGAATGCTGTTACCTTCCCCCCCCAAAAAGTGGTTCCTATTTTCCTACCTGCATTTTTTACGTGCTTTCCAACTGCTTGGTTGGGCAGAAGCTGGGACAAATATCAGGAGCTCCCTCCATTATGGGGCACTAGGGATTCGAACCGCTGAACAGCCAACCTTTCTGATCAACAAACTCAGCATCTTAGCCCCTGAACCACCGCGTCCCTGTTAGGACCACCTTTTATTCTGAGCCTCTTCATTCAAGATCTGAGTCACCGACACAACATCGGCTGAGCTAGTGGAGATTTCTGGGAGTTTTAGTCCCAGCCAATCTGGAAGGCCTGGGGGCTTCCCATAGAACATACCCGGGATTTTTGGATTTCAGCCAATTCAAGAGGGCATCCTTGTTGAAAGCGGCAGTGGCCGCCATGTTGCTCTTGTTGAGTTGAATGTTGGCGATGGTGTCCGAATTCATCACCACTTCGATCAGCCCCATTTTGTCTCCTGTGGAAAGGCAGCCGTAAGGGGTCATCCTTGAGAGGAAGAGAGAGAGAGGAATCATCAGACCCTACCCTGGTGGAGGTGATATGTGAGATGTCGGCGAGGGTACTGGCACCTCCACCGAGCCCAAAGTTGAGATCAAAACTCAAGCAAGCAACCTTTGGGAGAAGGATCAGATGAAAAGCGAAGAGCAGGAAACGGGACACTTCCGTCACAACTGGCGGGAGTTAACGGAAGATAAAGACTACAGGGGTGTCAAACTCTTATTCCATTGAGGGTTGTGTTTGATCTTGGGGTGGGCATGGCCAGCTTGATGTCACTCGTGTCGGGGGTTGCTGTGGTGGCCCAAGTGCTTTGCCGGCAAAAATGGGCTTCCGAGTTCCGTTTTAGGCTGCGACAGCCTCCTGCAGCCCTCTCCCAGCGAAAACAGCTGATGAACTGTGAAGTCTGGGAGGGACGTGCGCGGCTCTTTCGAGCTCCATTTTCACTGGCAGAGGCTCCGCGGGCCAATCCTTCGCTGTTTCCAGGGCGACTCTGCGGGCCAGATCTAAGCACCCCATGGGCCGGATCCGGCCCGTGGGCCTCGTGTTTGACACCCCCTGCTGTAGAAGAAACAGGATGGAGAAGGGACTTCATCAGCACCCTTCACGGTTTGTATTACAGCTGCAGAAAGCGAAGTATTAAATTCTTTGGGACAGTTTATCCCCCACATCCACTCACCTCAAGTCGAGACCTTCTTGTTTCCATAAGATATCCATGAGTTGGATCATTTGGAGTGTCAACATATCCTGGCGGAGATCTGCCAAATAGCAATAGCAATAGCAGTTAGACTTATATACCGCTTCATAGGGCTTTCAGCCCTCTCTAAGCGGTTTACAGAGTCAGAATATCGCCCCCCACAGTCTGGGTCCTCATTTCACCCACCTGGGAAGGATGGAAGGCTGAGTCAACCTTGAGCCGGTGAGATTTGAACCGCTGAACTGCAGATAACAGTCAGCTNTTGCTATTGCTATTGCTATTGCTATCTGCCTCACTGATATCTGACTCGGAAGGCAGCTGATAACTGGCATATGGCCCTGGTCCCCTCTCTGCCTCCGACACAGAGCCCTCATCAGAGCCTTCCCCAGACTCCAGGACTGACCCATGTTCCTCCCCAACCTCCTCACTGTCCGAATCTGCTGCCAGCTCTGCTGGCAGGCCATAACACTGTTTGACTATCCTCTTGAGGTTATAAATAATAACAGAATACTTCTTTGGCCAAAGGTGATCAGGCACACGAGTTCTCGGCAGTTCTCACAGGCCACTTGAGTTGGCATATGGACTCATATTGTTTGGTCTTTTCCTCTTTTTTCGTCTTTGTTGATATCAACCAAACTGGTATGACATCTCTGGGTAAATGGCTATGTGTCCGGCTCTCACCAAGACCGATATGTGTGCACGGGTGTTACAAGGCATTTGTGAAGGATACATGCAACCTTCGACAGCGATAACCAAGTGGTTCAGATTGAGCCCATTTAACTAGAAAAAGCTAACCATCCTGCTTTCTACCTGTCCCAAACAGACATAAAACTTGAGTTAGGAGTTTCCTTCCCACGCCCTTCGTCCTTCTGTGGACTAAGATATCTTTGATATGACGGCGGTCCTGTGTGTGTGTGTATGTATGTGTACACGCACGCATCTGCTTGCCATTTCTTTAGAACAGGGGTCGGCAACCTTAAACACTCAGAGAGCCATTTGGATCCGTTTCCTACAGAAAAAACACCGGGAGCCACAGAAACTCTTCCCGTGCATGACTATTTCCTGAGCACCCATAAAACTAGCATATGTAGTTGAATTAAAGGTTAAAGGAAACGTTTCTTTTTTTGGATTTATCCATGGTTGGCCTACCTGGGGTCAAAAAACTGAATAAATCGAATGCCGGCAGGCATCACACATTGGCGGTTGGGATGCATATTTTGAGCGAGAGGGAGCCGCAGCAGAGGGACGAAAGAGCCACATGCGGCTCCAGAGCCACAGACTGCTGACCGCTGCCCTAGACCAATCTCACTTCCCAAGGGAGCCTCCTTACCTGCTTCATCAGAGCTTTGATATGGTGAGCGTTTCCCCGGCAATAGGCCTCTAGAATCAGGCCAAACCTTAAGGCAAGCGAAGGGAAGTGCATTTCCGATCTAACCACGGTTAAAACGTCGAAGGAGATATGGAACCCGAGCAAGAAAAAAAAAAAGACAGAATTTTAATCATGGGGGAGTTACAATACATTGCCATAACCCTGGACAGCTGTGGCTCATTGAATTTCTTCTTATCTCCCGCTCATTTCCCTTGATTGTTGGTAGTTCAGATTCTTGTAGAGAGCTTAAGCTTGCAATACATTTTTATACTCATTTGAACTGCCCAAATCTCCTGATTTCCCCCGGGGACTTGATAAATTAACATACGTATGAGCCTTGGTGACCCAGTGGTTAGAGGGCAGTACTGTAGGCTATTTCTGCTGACTGCCGGCTGCCTGCAATTTGATAGTTCAAACCTTACCAGGCTCAAGGTTGACTCAGCATTCCATCCTTCCGAGATGGGTCAAATGATGACCCAGATTGTTGGGTGCAAGAGGCTGACTGTAAACCATTGAGAGAGGGCTGTGAAGTAGTATATACGTCTAAGTGCTATTGCTGTTTTCCTTCCTTCCTTCCTTCCTTCCTTCCTTCCTTCCTTCCTT